GTCCCTAGGAATGTTGAAGAGGCAGTGAAGCCCTCTTAATTGTTCTCGGTAGCAAAGGTCGGGGCTGGGAATGGAGAGCACTAGCCCCGAGGCATCCCCACCCCTCCACCCAGGAATATCTCTTGCTCGCGCTCTCTCTCCTTTACTCTCTCGCTCGCGCTCTTTGCTCGCCCCGCCCCCAGTTTCTCTCTCTCTCTCTCTCTCTCTCTCTCTCTCTCTCTCTCTCTCTGCCCCACCTCCCTCTCCCTCTCCCTCCCTCTCTTCCTCTCTCCTCCCCTTCCCTCCCCTTCCCTCCCCCCTCCGGCTGACTGAACGCTGGCCCAGTACCTTGCAGGGTCCCTTTCCCTCGGGTGGTCGCCAGAGCATTGTCCCAAAGGGAGTAGTGGGGAGGGTCTTGATAACCGGCGCTGGCGAGATGTGCAGTGACCGTGTGTCCCCAGCGCTTCCTAGTGGGAACTGGAAGTCCCAGTTTGATGGGAGTGATCGCTGGGAGCTGCGGACAGCTGCCCGAAAAAAACCGACCCCGTGCGGTGGCCGAGTGGGAGTATGGGCCTTAGATATCCAGAGAGGATACTTGCAAGGTGAAGCTGGGGTCACCGAAGGAGCCCATTAAGGCGGGGCAGACAGGGTAAGGTACAAGTTTTAAAAGAGTTTTGTGGATAAATGGGGGAAAGTTAACCCAAATTGTTTGAAGCAAGGAGGGCATCTGATGTCCCATTTTTGAGTAACCTCTTTGTTCTCAAAAGTGAAAGTAACCCTTGACAGCATGATCATCCAAAACATAGTTGGTGTTTCTTAGACAATGGCTTCAGATACAGTTTCACAGATAACTAATGGGAGACTACTATGGATGGGCTTTATGCTAGCTTTAGAATGCTAAAACAAGTAGAACACACTTTATACTCAGAGAAGCTCCATAGGCAGAGGCGAAGGCTCCAGAGCCAATGTAACCACAGAACATGGTGGTTAGAGCTATGATGGTGGCATGAGTGGGCACAGTGGGACTGGGAGGTGGGTCTGAGAAGGACACAGAGGAAGTGCCTGCCCATATTCTTAATCACTAAACTGCTGAGCTCTAAAATAGATGATCACTTCTTCTTAATAGACTGGACATTAGGTGTTTCTTACGTCTCTATATAGTCCTCTACAGGTGCACCTAAAGGGAACACATCTTGCAAGGTTGGACTTTGCCCTCCAGGGAAACCTGGAGAGGTGAAGCCAGAAGGGTTTCCTCCCTAACAAAGGCACAGTTGCCCCACCTGTTGTGGCACATAGATGATTTTGTGTTTGGTTGGATGGCTGGATTTCATGTAAGGAACTCTGTGTGATAAGATAACAAGGGATTGCTGATGTTAGAAATGGGATTTTGTGCTAGAGATTGCTCAGAAAGGAAAGACCTTAGAAGTGGAATTTTAATAGCTAGGATATCTAAGGGGACTGAGGATTTAAAAGGTGGCAGCAGATTGACAGAAAAGACACAGGAAAAAAAAGTATGAGTTTGGATACCATGGAGTCATCTTTATATAAAAATCTTTCAGTATGTTTTTTAAAATATGGAGCGTTTGAACTGTCCCCCTGACAACTGACAAAAGGTTCCATACTGGAGAAGGATCAGCAGTATTTGCTAAATAATGTTATGAATGATGTCTGATATATTAGGCTAAGTAGGTATGAGAGGTATAAACAGTAAAATTTCTACTAAAACAATGACACCTTCACTAATCATTCTACTTAAATGCTTCCAGAACGTTTTTATCACCTTTGCTGTGATAGTGCATTAGACATCTTTAAAACCCTAAGTTCACAGTTGTTCTTCAGTTTATTGAAGCATTTCAAAGAATGTATGATAGCCAGAAAAATCAAGAAGGATGGCATATTATTCTATTAAACCAGCTTGGTTTTCTGTCACTATCAGATTATTTTGGGGGCCTACTGTTTTGTAGGTCTGTCTATTCTAAAACCCTATACTCTTAATTTTCTTTAGCACTTAGTGCTTATTATGTGCCAAGCATTGTTCTAAGCACTTTGTAAAGATTAACTGATTCAGTCTTCACAACAGCCCTATGAAGCAAGTACTATTATCCCTATTTTACAGATTGGGAAACAAAGGCACAGAGTGGTTAAATGCCTTGACCAAGGTTACAGGTCACGTAACTATTAATAGTAAGTAGCAGAGCCAGGATTTGAGACCAGGCATTCTAGCTCTTCGGCCTGCACTCCTAACCATCACCTTATATAGTCTCCCCCCAGGCTCCATTTCATTCACCAGAGTATTTGGTAAAGGAGGCACTATAGTCTTAATTCCAAAAACAAGGTGTCTGTTCAGGTTAAACTCACATCCCTTGAATCCTTTTTCTAGAGGAATATGGAATGTGGTGCTGATGGGAAGTTCCTGGGTCTGTTTCAGCCTACCTTTTTAGATAAGGGAAAAGGTTATATAGGGGCAGAGTAGAGGTTAACTCCAAGTAGCTAAGGAGAGAACCCTCAACAGCAGAGAATGCCGATGCATCTGGTACTAGGATTGAGTAGGCATGCATGAAGACCAGATTCCAACTGTGTGCCATACTCAGAAAAGACATCTAGAAACTCTTCAGACAATCAGTGTTTGCATGCCTGCAAGTCTCTAGTGTTCTCATGGGCCTAAAGAGATAAGAAACCCAAAACACAGCACCTGCCTAAAAGAAGTTTAGGGTTGATTATAGTTGGGAGCCCAAGACCTTGAACTAGTGCATGAACAAGACAATAAAATAAAGTGCTCAATTGAGACATGCGGTAATTAGAAGAGAGGCCAGCCTACAATAAGGTGCTAATTCTGGAGGCCAGGCATCAAGTGCAAGAGGTGAAGAGCTGCTGCTAGCCACTAGGAAGCAACAATAATAACATTACAGGTGGAGTAAATCTGTCCCACCTAGCCTTGGTTAATTAAAGCAATAAAAGCCAATTACAGAAGAGCTGTGGGTCAGAGCTGAGTCCTTGGTGCTGAAGTTGCAGAGAGCTCTTAAAAGCCCAGCAGGAAACATTTTATTATCAGTCTTAAGCAGACACGGCCAAGTTTCAGGCCTTTTCACCGTTAGTCCAGCACCCTGGAAAAGCACCGTGTGAGCTAACGTTTCTCCTATAGATCTGTTTCCTTTAAACACTTTGCATTTATCTTGCATGTACTTTGTCTTTAAGAATACTAAAGATAAATAACCTATCATAGTCTGGCCAGGAGGTCTGTGTCTGACTTCTTATAGACATTATAAATTGGGAATACAGTGATAGAAAAATTGATAGTAAAACATGGGGAAAGCTCATTCCCAATTAGAGGAAGGATCATAGGATCTTCAGTTGTGTTTCATTTTGAGAGGGTGGTATGGTGCTTCTGTGGCTCATTAGGGCATGTATGAGGAAAGGGGATCGCATATCCTAATTACCAAATATGGAAGTATTTAAACACACACACACTCTGGTAGCCATAGAAAGTAATAGAGTCTGAAGCAGAAGTGGAGGGGTGATGTCTTGATAGTGACCTGCTGGGGGAAAAAATGAGGCTAATCCCATGCTGCTTCTAGTCCTTCCTGTTTTTGCATTTTTAAAAATCATTTGCTTTCCTCTTTAGAAGCGGACTTCCAGAGACAAATGGCCAGGTCATTCCTGGCTGTCAACTGTGAAGGTGAGAAGGCTACAGTTGCATATCCCACCTAATTCAATCATTCATCCCAATATATCTGAAATGCCAGGAAAACTTCATCTTTTCATAGTCTGCTCCAAACAAACCATAGCCTTCTAGTATGTAGAGACTTAGCAATGGAACTCTTTGGATTTTCTGTGCTATTGGAGACATGAATATCTCCTTTTCAGGGTAAGTGGAGATGGAATGCCTTTGGGTGATATCAACTTCTTAACCTTAGCAGGGTGAGTTTAGTGGAACAAGTACAGTTCTGGCCACAGTCCTATTGAAATAAGTCTTGACTTTGGTATGTGAAGTGTATGTTTCTAAACCAAGAAATGGTAGCAGAGAATCAGGTTGCAGAAAGACAGGTTGGTTAGGAAGATAACAATCTATGGTGGAAAGATTATGGTGCCTCTAGTTCAAAGATTTTGGCTTTGCCATTATCTAGCTTTTATGTCTTTGAGCAAGTTGGTTTAACGTCTCTAAGCCTCATTTTACCCTAAAGTGAATATCTTGCCAGGTTGTAAAACTCAGAATAGATCCTGGATATGCAAACATTTAAACATTGAAAAATGGCCATGTTTAACTTGGAGTTTTTAAGATTTCTCTCATTTACCACGTGTAATATTTGATGCATTTTGATAGTGCTTTTTCTACATGCCATACTTGACTGAAAAAACTGAACGTGCTCAGGAAATTGCTAACAGAGACAGTTACTGGTAGCTTTCTTTTTGAATGTTAGCAAAGAATAGGGAAAGGAAGTTAAGGGAAGCTTTTGGTAGAAATATTAAATCCAATAAATTAACAAAGAAAATGTTGAATTTGTTCCTGAAACAGAGAACCCATAGAATCTGAGCCCTGCAAGGTACCTTAGCAGTCAGCTTGCTCTTCCCCCTTGTTTTATAGAACGGGGAGGCTGAGGTTCAGGAGGGTAACTGACTTGCCTGAGATCATGAGGTTAGTAAGCAGCAGGACTGGGAGTAGACTCTGGCTTCTTGACTCCAAGCCCAGTCTTCATTCCCTTTAGCCTCTCCTCTATTTCCAAAGCCCTTTAGCAGATGCAAGAGAGCCCCTTGCCTGGTAGGTAGAGGTGTGTTCTTGTAGAACACGCTATAGCCTTGTTTTCACAGTCCCACCTTCCTTCCAAGGCTCTGCTCTTGCATGGCCACTAACAGTGCCTGAGATAAACGGTATCAGCAAAGACCCAAAAGCCACATAACTCCCTTCTTGAGGCCCAGTAGAATTGCAATAACTGGTTCTCTCTTTCTCTTCCCTGGCTAGTCTTTCAGATTCTTCCAAGCACTTTTGCTTTTAGTCCCTAAAAAAGCCAAGCTCTTGGCTGAGTGATGTCACAGTGGCTGCATGCCTGCACATGGCACAATGTGGGGCCAGGTGCCATTCTCAACACCCTCAGGTGAGAACCTTTGCTGGTTGGTCTCTGCCTAGCATGGGTGGGCTCTCTCCTAGAAAATCAGCATTGTGGTACTTGGCCCCACAGGAAGTGTTTCCCAGCAGAAGCAGATTTTAGGATCTCAATCCTAGGGTGACTCTTCTGGCTAAGGCTTCACAGCCCTCCTACCTTCTAAGTTGGGGCAGAATCAGTCTTCTGAATGTTAGCTGGTATTCAGCCAGGGCCCCACCTTAGAGTCCAGAATGCTTATGTTCAGGCCTATGGCCTATGAATGCCATTGCATGCAGCCCACCCGATAACACCATCTCTGCATAGCCATGTGTGGACAAGATGGCCAAACTGTAAGTAACCCAAGGTCACTGGTGGAAACATCAGCACCCATCCCTCTTTTATTTTCTAGTTATTAGACAGAATTTGATTGTTTTAGTAAATAGTTAAAAGCAGGCTCTGGGGTGAGAACACACTTTGGGAGCGTATCCTATCTCCACTGCTTCCTGGAAATATGAACGTAGGCAAATCTCTCCATGCTTCAATTTCCTCATCTCTAAAAGATGGATGGGAAGGTAGGCGTTTGTACCTACAAGATAGAGTAGATGTGAGAATCGAATAGGTTGAGATGTGTAGCGTGCACCCCAGTGCCTGGCGGGTAGCAGATATTCAGTAAGGGCCTGGAAGGGATCAGAGTCCCACCCTACATTCAGCATGCCCCACACTGGCAACAGTCAGACAAAATGTCCATCTCAGAACCTATCCTGACAGAGGCCAGATGGCAATTCAGTGTCAAATGAGATCGTGCACTTGATTACAAAGGGTTTCACAAACTATGAGAGTATCAAAGTAATTGACAAGTATTCAATGGGTATTGTCGCTTTTATGGACACTTTCTTGCTGGCTTACAGATTTCCTTCAGGGAGAATACAGTGCAGGGAGATGGCGGCATAGCAACTAATTAGACAGACTATAGTAGGTACCATCCATAGACCTAGAAAGTAAGTTAGCCACCTTGCTAAACATTTTAGGGAAGACCCACTGACTCCTTGAGCTTCATTTCTTTACTCATTTGTAAAACAGGCTGGACCAGAGTTTGGAAGAGACCTGCTAGATCTCTCAGTCTCTTTCCAAAAGGCTGTATCTTCGAGGGTCCAAGGATGTGAGGTAGCCCAGTAGGTGTCATGCTCCATTAAAGAGACAGGCACTAGAGGGGGCTCATAGAAAAAGGAAAGCCCTATTTTTTTTTTTTTTTTTTAAAGAATGGGTATTATATCCCAGGAGCTAGTGAAAGGAAAGTCTACTTATAGTCTATTTCTTGAGTTTTTAAAAAAGATTCATGAAAATTAGAGATCCTAGTCTACCCCCCTTACTTTAGAGATAAAGACACTAAAGCCAAGTTGAAATGACTTTTCAGGTCCCTCAAGTACATGTGAGGGGTTGGGAAGTAGAACTCAGGCTTCCTGCTTGGTCATTCCTCCCATCCCCCCACCTTGGAAAAGAAAAAAAAAGAAGCCATGTGCTGTGCTCCAAAGTGTAGTGACAGGCCAGGTGCAGTGGTTCATGCCTATAATCCCAGCACTTTGGAAGGCCGAGGCAGGAGGATTGCTTGAGGCCAGGAGTTTGAGAGCAGCCTGGGCAACATAGTCAGACCCTGTCTCTACAAAAAATAGAAAAATGAGCCAGATGCGATGGCACACCCTTGTAGTCCCAGGTACTTGGGAGGCTGAGGGAAGAGGATCGCTTGAGCCCAGGAGTTTGAGGTTGTGGTGAACTGTGACACCATTGCACTCTAATCTGGGAAACAGAGCAAGCCCTTTTCTCAATTAAAAAAAAATGTAAGTGTGGTGACAAGCAGAGCTGGTTTTGAATCCTGGCTCCACCACTGTCTAGCTCTCCGTGAGCTTGGAAATATTGAGCCTCACTCTTTCCACCTCTGCACTGGAGAATAACAAAAGCTGCTGTGCTGGGTTGTAAGAATTAAAACGAGCTGCTTTGTGAAGTCCTGAACCATAATGGGCATTCAGTTCATATTGGTGCCCATCTCCATTCCTCTAGACAGCACTGCATGTGTTTTGCCTAAAACATAAGTTTTAGACAAAATGTCAAATGGACCTCCATTTCCACATCTGTAAAACAGGAGAATTTGACTAAAATCTGTTATACTAGATGGTCCTTCATATTCCTTCCAGCTTTAAAAGTCTTATTCAGATAGTAATTTTTTTTTACCACTTAATCTTATATGTGGTCTTGTCTTAAAGTTGTCTGAATTTTTCTCATCATTGCAACATGTAATGAGCCACACCCGTAAAAAGGGAAAGTAGAACATGCTACTCAAAGCTGCTACTGATACCCAACATTTGTGACATGTATTATGTCACATTATGTGTGGGTGTGTATTTTTTTAATCCGTAAAGCCAGGAAGTGATAAAGTAGCCAATTGTAGTAAAATAGTTGTAGTAAGTAGAGGAGCAGTTACTGTCCAAATCCCAAACTTTTTTCAGAAGGAATGATCAATGTTAGGAGTCTGAGTGTGTGCATGAGTGGGTTTTATAAGAAGGTGGCTGGTTATGAAGCAAGAAGGAAAATTTAGCTTACTGACTGCTTCCTGGTTTCCTCAATGAACTTGCATGAGGAAACTATGAAGAACTATGTATAAAGTTTGGTTTGGAGGTACAGTATTTTACTTTTCGTTTTTTCTTTAAGTTTTTTGCTGAAGGTTGGATATGACCAAGACAAAAGGCAGGCAGGAGACAGACTCTCCTGTGGAGGGAGAAACATTGTAGACTTGTTGGTAAAGATCTTATTAAATAGGCCGGCTTGCTCTACCTGTTTGCACACCTTCCTTGGCTAGCAGGTATGATGCAGAAGATAAGGCACCTTTCCTCTGTTAGGCTTTGGACCACACCCTTACCTTTTTGAAAAAGTTTAGTGACTCATTCTATTTTTTTATGAAATATTTCAAACAGTGATTCATGGTTCATTCTTTGTTTTTCTGAGACTCCTCTAAAAATGGGCATAAAATTTATAATTCTTTTGGACCCTTATACAAATTAAAATAATTGTAGCTCAGGTAAATTAATTTTCTGCTTGACCAGATTTGTTTCTAATGCTTCATCTTTGAAGATTTATTTATTCATCTTTGAAGTTGCAGGATTGACTTGTGAATACTTTTATATTTTAAGTCTATCTGTCTTAAATGTGAGAAGTCCTAAAGAAGGCATACATCATATTTTTAAGGCTGTATAATTTAAGCCATAGAAGGTTCTCATTATACTCATCAGGATGAATTTCATTTGAGAGTTATGATAGAAACATCAGATGCTACCCTGAAAGAGTCAGTGGACATTTTAAGTGATTGTTTAAGGGTAGACTGAATTACTTAACTATGGCAAAAATTAATTTAGGTGGGAATTTATTGTTAATGCTAAGTTTAGGAGAGCACCAGACCAGCCCCCAACAGCAATCAAGCATAATACTAGATTTATTAAGATTTTACACGTTCACTTGAAATAAATTTTGACTTAAGCCAAAAGCCTCCTATTTTAGAATTTCTACTACCTTGCAGATGATCATGACATCTGCTAAGGAGTTGATGAAACTGAGTTTCAACTATATGGTTCCTACTTGTAGGGACCTAGAAAGTTTAATCCCTCAATTTTTGTTTTGTTTTGTTTTGTTTTTTAAGTATTTGGATGATCCTTATCGCTAAGCCAAGAAGAAATCATTTCACCTGATTCTGAGTTTGTTAAACCAGTCTGTGTGCAGATATTTCATACAGGCCTTAATGATTTGGGTTCATTGCCCTTTGTTTAATGCTACTTTATACAGTCCCAAGATGCTGTTAATGAATGCATGTATGGATGTAAGAATGTGGGTGGGTGTGGGGTTTTAGAGAAGGAATTCTCACCAAGTACTTTGAGATGCTTCTAAGAATTTGGTTTTAGATCTAGCTGAACTACTCCATGACTTCAGTATGGGATCTTTTCTCAAGAAAGCAGGTAACATAGGACTTGTTGGCAATCCGAGAGAATTGGAGTCCTTGGGACACTCGCTGGATTGGGAACAGTTGAGTTTTGGGACCCTAATACATCCAATACAGAACTTTTTTTTTTTTTTTTTTTTTTGAGACAGAGTCTCACTCTTTTGCCCGGGCTAGAGTGAGTGCCGTGGCGTCAGCCTAGCTCACAGCAACCTCAAACTACTGGGCTCAAGCAATCCTTCTGCCTCAGCCTCCCGAGTAGCTGGGACTACAGGCATGCACCACCATGCCCAGCTAATTTTTTCTATATATTTTTAGTTGTCCGATTAATTTCTTTCTATTTTTAGTAGAGACAGGGTCTCGCTCTTGCTCAGGCTGGTCTTGAACTCCTGAGCTCAAAGGCCTCCCAGAGTGCTAGGATTACAGGCGTGAGCCACCGCACCCGGCCCCCAATACAGAACTTTTATGTTTTATGTGACAGTCATGCCTTTGCCCCTATCTATAAAGCATGGACTATGGGTCAGTTTTTTAGACCAAGTGGTAGATTTATAGGGATTTACCCCTCCTTCAACAAGTGATGGATGAGGCACTTTGGCTGGATTCTGCCCATTGCTGAGGGTCAACACTTGCCCAGGCCAGGAGTTCAGACTAGCCAACCTGCTTATGTGCCACAGTGGGATGGGGCCTGTGAGCTCGGCCTTAGCACCATGGTTTTCAAACCCTTTGAGCTGCCCAGTCATGGATAAGCAGCATGGGAATTGAGTCACAGGTGGTGTACCTCAAGGCTGACACAGCAACCCAGTCCCTTAGGCTCCGGGGGCCCCAGATTCCACTACACCGAATACGTTTGTGTCTGTCTATCTGGGTTAGTGGAAGGGTACACTTGTGATCAGGTATCATGAAGCACATATGTTGTACATACATCTAGAGGCAATTCTCTGGACCAGAAGCGGGTTTTTGTAAGAAAATTCGCACTTATTTCAGTCATTTCTTGGTTTTGGCTTCTAGGAAGGAAGACTAGCTGATTTCCTTA